GCGCGCAGACCCTGATGCTAAAGACAAAGTTGCTGCCAACGGACTTGTTGCTGCTTTGTAGAAGACTAAGTCCTTTTCATTGTAAATATAGAGTAGTTTTGCTGCATTTTCTTTAAGTGTGATTTTCCAGCTTTCATAGGTCTAGTCATGTAACTTTGGTTTATTTTTTTTAAGCATTATTAAGGGGGACCAAGCAATCAAAACTTTCAAGCAAGCAAACAATTCTCTGTACTGGTGTCTCTCCCCCCGACACCGTCTTGTTTTCTGTAATAGCTTTCATTCAATGCAATCAAGCTTTCTTTCATTCTCAATTCTCTTTTCTGTTCTCTTTCAATTCCTCACGACATTGGTTTTCCCGTACGGCACTGACAATCTAGTCTAGCGTACGGAGGAAACTTCAGTTGGCGGACAGCAACCGTACTGACATCGGTTGCTTAGCCTTACGTCGCCCTTTCAAGGAACTTCAGGAAGGCGCCGCGTAACAATAAGTACGCATGTTACCTTCTTTTAACTTATAAAAGCGACTCTCATATGACATTTTAAAAAATATCGAAAGTTAATCGAATAAAAATAAAATAATTGAAAACTTAATATGTTATAAAATAAAATAACCGGGTGAACCGAAGTATTGATAGCCACAGGTTAGGCCTAGTTAGGGTTAGTTACGTTATTTTAACAAGGCTATAGGTCTTTTATAAGGCTGGACTATATATATACTCGGTTGGATATTTCAGTAATTGACGGTTCTTACATGCAAACCCTAAAAACTTCCTCCATTTGGCAATATTTGTTCTGATATTTTCTGCAGTTTTTTGGTTCTTTATAGATCACAACGAAGTACCTCTACTGGTGTAATACTTATGTTATCCTGCTCGTGAAGTCAAAAACAACAGACCAGAAAGACTCCCTTTTCCCCCAAAACACTGTAATTTACTTGCTCCATTTTCATTACTTCTTTGTGTTTTTTTTCTATCCATTAACAAGATCAGTTATTTTATCCAGTTCTTGGATGTTGCACCTGGTGTATTTTGATAAAAAAATGATTTCTTGTTTTTGCCTTTTTTAATCGTTGAATGTATTAATTAAATAGAAGTGCTTTTTTTTTTTTTTATGGATAAGTTTAATGAAGAGAAGAAATTTTTGGGCGAGTGAAAATTGCTTCTGGGTTTGGGTTTTCTTGTAAAGTCGGTTACTTCGAAGGAAATTATGGAGTGCTAGAGACCACCCACCCCCCCTAAAAATAAAAAAACCCAGAGTATCCAATTTCAATCATGAATGCTTTATGTGAGTTTATTTGGGGTTTCTTAAAGGGTACGTGTAAAGAAGAGAAAAATCATGCTGTGACTGAAAATTGAATGTGTGTATGTATTTTTTGTTAAAGTTGATTGCTTTAATTGGAAATTATATAGTGTTAGATATCTTATTGCTGTAAGAGGGTCTCAATTTCAAGCATGAATCTTGTATGTGAGTTTGCAACTTTTGCTTCTTCGATTAAAAGTTATATTTTTTTTTGGGGGGGGGGGG